TCACTGGATCAAGACAGCTGACTGAGCGCCTGTCACTCACCAGATGGAGGGTGGCTGTCCTGGACCAGAGGTTTAATTAAGGTGATGAACTGCATCACAACGTGACATCACAAAGAGTTGCCCCTTCACCCAAAAAATGGCAGGGCCTGTTGTCCCTGTACCCCAAAAATGCCAAGACAGGGCCTGCCTTGTTTTCCTGACTGGTCCCAAGTTGGAAACAAGGACACAAGTAGAGAGAAAGCCCTTGTCTCTGCTTTGGAACCATCGTTTCTCAAAGTTCTTTGGACTCTTGCAATGGAAGCCTGCCTGGGTCAGGCCAGGTTGCGAGAGACCCCGGTCAGGTGGTCTCCGAAAGTGGAGCCCAGGAAATGTTTGTAACCAAAATCACAGTAGAGACATATCTTTGTTTTGTTTTTTTTAAAAAAAGTTATTTTAAATATTTAAATACTTTGCCTTCCTTCTGAAAAGGGCCGTTGGTGGCTTAGAAAATTAAAGGACTGCATGCTTGTGTTTGTGTGCGCGTGTGTGTGTGTGCATGTGATCTCACTGGATACCAAAAACCAGCATCCATATTACAGGATACCTACGAAGCTTTTTGACTCTGCAGGGATCTCAACCAGTCTCGTCCTCTTCCAAATCTAATATTCAAACAATTATACTCTACCCTGGCTCAGTCAGAATTTACATATGATTCTATACGCGGAACACCTTGGCGCGTATCCTGTTGCAAAGCTATCTGGAGAATGCCGGAAGAACATTGACAGCGCTGGTAGACTGCCACTGAAAAAAAGTCCCTGCTTCCGTTTCGAGGTACCTCATTGCACACCCCCTGTTCCCATCCTAAAACCCGAGGAGCGACTCTTTCATTCATAGCCAATGAGTCAGAAGTTGGGAGTCTGGTTCTCCACTGGGCAGGGACTGGGAGGCTACCAATTACATCCGGAGGTGTTGAGTGCTTTGAGGCTGGAGGCATCCAAGAGACAATTGGCCAACTTGTCAGACCTGCTTTGATTTGGCTTCCTTCACTGAGCATGGGGTTGGCCTCGATGCCTTATAGGCCCCTTCCAACTCTATGATTCTATGAGTCTGTGAGTACAGGCAGTTGCTTCCTATCCTGACATTCTCCCACTGGAAGCTTACCTAGTGCCGCTGGATGAAGGAGCGGAATGGCCGTCTTGGCGCAGGGCTACATATCCAACACATCAAGAGCTGGCAAAACAGGGATTGGGCAGTAAATAATATCCTTCAGGGACCTTGCGCTTGATCTCATGTGGCCTATCCTTTGCAATGAAAAAGCAGAGGTGTGAGTGGTCTGTGGGCTACCTGATGAGTTGGAGTAGCAAAGGTGTCAGTCTGATCTGAACACATCACCTAAGGCAGAAAAAACGTCTGCAGCAAAAAGAGATGTCAGAGGGAATACCAGTTTCATTAATTTATTCATTTTGATGCATTTTTAATGCTCCCTCTTTCGGTTTAAAAGCCATTAAGGCAGCTTACACAGAGATTCATTTCAGGCACCAACTGGGAACTTTTAGCCCACCAGCTGTTTTGGACATCAAACCCCAGAAGCCACCAGGGCTAAGAGTAAAAGTGGGGGGAAAAAAGAAGAAAAATGTTCACATGCATTACGAGACTGGCCATGTGGGGGCAAGAGACCATGCTAGCTATTCTTCACTAATAAGTACGTATTCATAGCATAGCCTCTGGTTCCATTCAGCGGCCTGTTCTGATAATACATGTGAAAATAGTTCTTTCTTGATTTCTTTTTATATTTTTAGACCGTGGATAAGTGAAACCGTGGATCCGGATCCCTTGAATACAGGGGTCCTGCTGTGCAGGGTTGTTAACAATGGGGCCTTTCAGAGTTCATGAATTCATGTTGTTGTTGTTTAGTCATGTCCAACTCTTCGTGACCCCCTAGACCAGAGCACACCAGGCCCTCCTGTCTTCCACTGCCTCCCGGAGTTGGGTCAGATTCATGTTGGTCGCTTCGATGACACTGTTCAATCATCTCATCCTCTGCCATCCCCTTCTCCTCTTGCCTTCACACTTTCCCAACATCAGGATCTTTTCCAGGGAGTCTTCTCTTCTCATGAGACGGCCAAAGTCTTGGAGCCTCAGCTTCAAGATCTGTCCTTCCACATGAATTCATAGGGTTACCATTATGCAACATTGAACAAGGCCGTGCTGACAACAGGGGAATGCGGTTGTTTGCCTACAGACAAAATTAGTCTTGGTATTTATTTATTTATTTATTTGATTTATTTGATTTATTTGATTTATATCCTGCCCATCTGGTATATTTATACCACTCTGAGCAGCTAATATTATGCTCCATGTCTCACCCCAAGAGGGAAGGAACAAGTGTACCCAGCCCTAAAGGGAATTCCGAGTTCTCCCCACTGGGCCTCCTCGAGAGACGCAGGAATTGATGATTCAGACGGTCCCTTCCAGCTCTGCATTCAAAAATTAACTATCCATTCATTTATTTATCACATTATGACAATATGAAACTACCTTATGCCACGTGAGATTACAAATCAAACTAACCCGATATTGCCTAACCTGACTGACAGCTTTGCCCCCTCCCCAAAAGTCTCCAGAAGAAACCTGGCCTTCCTTATCAGCTGCAGAGATTTCACTATAACTCCCTGAGTATCTTAGCCACCTGGGCCACTGCATGTTCTGGGAGTTGCAGTGCAAGCAAAATAAATTTGCACCCGCTCACCTTTTTTTGCTAGCGAATGAACCAGACACCTGCAGGCAAAACCCTAAGCTTTTAAAAACTGCTTGGTGGAGCCAGAAGTTGGGAGTTCAAATCCCCCACGGGGCCTCCTTGAGAGTGGCTGGGCTTGATCCCGGGGGGGGGGTGTCTCTTCCAGCCCTGCAATGCAAAGGTGATTTAAAGGTTAAAGCCCTGAAATGTGGCCAGTGCATCTTTCTGTGCATAAGAAGGGACATCATCCTTCAAACAGGAGGAGGAGTAAGTTTGGATCCACATTGAAACAAACCTATGCCATGCGACGTCGTCCCTTTTTAAAATCCCGGCCCCCTTCCCCGCTTTAAT